GGCCGGTGTACAGCACCCACCAGAACAGGTGTGGGAGCCAGAACAGGGTACAAGCTGGGTTAGGGTAGTGTGCAACACCCACCAGTATGTGTAGGACCTCAGACTGGGGGCAAGGGGAGCTTGGGGATTCTCCTGCTGGGCCACGGCTCCCACTGGTGAGTGTGAGAACTAGAACTGTGGGTGGCCCAGCCTTGGCAGACCTGTAGCACCCGTCAGCCTATGTGTGAGTTAGGCTAGACTAGGCCACTGCATCTGTTGACACATGCAAGAACCAGAATAAGTTTGGACCAGCAGGGCTTTGGTGCAGCATCTGTAGGCAAGTGCCAGGATTGGGTGCAAATTATGTCAGACTAGACTGCAGTGCCCCTGGTAGGCACAAGATCTGCAGCTGGTAGTGGGCCTAGTATGGAAACTGTGGGCACTCTTCTGCTGGTATGTGGCTCCCACTGGTAAGCATGAGAACCAGGGCTGGAGGTGGGTCAGACTGGTCAAGGCAGTAGCACCTATCAACACACATACAGTGGGCCAGGTCTGGGGATGGGTCTGGCTGAGCTAAACTGCAGCACCCATTGGTGTGTACAATAGTCAGACGGAATGTGGAAAAGGCCAGACTAGTCTCCCATACACGCCAGCACACACAGGAACCGGGGCTGGGAATGGACCTGGTTTGGGTTATTGGGAGTCTCTCTGACTAGGCTGCAATTCCTGCTGGTGTGCCCAGGGGCTGGGTTTGTGATAGGGTGGATTGGACTGGCCTGCTGCACCCATTGGTTTTTGTGGGAGATGGGGCTGGGGATGAAATTGACCTGGCAACTGGATTCACTGGTGTGGGTGTAGACTGATGCAGGTGACAAACTGAACCAGACCCCATACTGGCTGGTACACACAAGAGTCAGATCTGAGGTCAACCCAGGTGAGGTTTCTCAGGGAACTTCCCAACTAGATCACACTGGGCTCATACTCTGACCATGAGGAAAATCGCAAAATATGTGTGCCAGAGTCCAGCTCCAGCTGAGTTTGGAATTCGAGAAGACTGTGGATGAGGTGTAAAGAGGAAAGAAATGGACCACCATAACTTCATGTTCATGATGGACAATGCATGAAAGCTATCTGCTTTATTTATACGGAAGCAGTCAAACTCTGGCTTAGACTTTTTACGTCATGGTCAAGTGGGTGTTTCCAAGGATAATTCTGCCAATTTATTTCACCTTAAATCAGGATTTTATCCATCCTGACCCTGTTGTCAGGAAGTTCTCAATAGATGGTGCTTATCAATCAGTAACACATTCCCACTACAATCCTCATTCTACAACTTAATCTTGAATCAGTTAAGGGAGGAAATGCATCACAGAAGGAAGGACCTAAAGATCAAGGAAAGAGGGAAAGAATAGATTCCCACTACACCTGGGGACAGAACACCCTTGATTAGCATATGGTCAATGAGGGCAGCAATAATAAAAGGCCCTTTGGCTAAAACAGTGTCAGCATCATCAACTTCCAAGCTCACATTGGTAATAAACATTAACTTCGCAGAGGTAGACAATGCCTAAATAGATTACAGAATTCTCAGTGGGATTGTCCAGTGTCCATGCAAAAGGAGGTGGAACTGCATTCAGTTGGTTGTAGAGACATCCACCGCGCCCCGCCATACGGCGGGCAATTCCTTGCGGCCCTGCCTGCAATGGAACAATACTGTCCCATCTTCCTGTCTTCCACACCCATCACATGGACCCCAGCATATGTGGTTCAACCTTGGAGTGTATGCATCAAGACTGGGCCTCCTCAGTCTTGATGTAGTGGACAGCATGCCCAGAAGCACATGGGGGTCATGACGGCTAACTGATCTAGACCAACAGACGATGTCAAAGTGTGTCATCAGAGAATGGAAATTGGAAAAGGTTGGACAACTCTCCTGGACTAGCATGGGCAGCAGTTGTCTGGGTGTGTGTGCATGCACTAAGGCGGACTTCTTCAACCAGTGGACTTTGGAAGGATTTTCTCAACTCTGGAGCAATGAAATAAACGATGTCTCAGAACTATCAAAACCACTCAAGTAACATCACTAGAACGGTAGCCCTCACATCAGGGTCTCTGTAAGATAACACCAAGTGGTAATCCTCTATCCCTGGGTGCTGAAGAAAAGAAAAAACTGGGGACAGATTGAAGAGTAATTCCTGCTCAGGTTCCACAGCAGGATAGCATAGGTGAATCAGTCTAGAGACAGTGGGCAGGATGCTATGTGGCTTTCGTAGCCGGCCCTTTCTCTTGCAGTCAATTAAGCTTAGTTTTCTGTTTATGGCCGCATCCAGCCCTGGCCGCTGGGATTGGCACCTCCCACCAGCAGCCAGTTGTTGGATTGTCATGATGAGTAATCCCTGGAATGGGGCACAGAGGACAGCAGCAGTCCCACAGGACCCCTCACCTAGCACTAGTTCCAATCTGCTGTTTCACTCCACAGCAGCCAGGGATATGGTCGGGCAGGTCAGGATCTGAAGCTGGAAATTCAGTCCAAGTCCTCCACCTGGGTGGCAGGAACCCAGTTAGTTGAGCCATCAAGGCTGATTCCACAGTCAGGAACTAGAGCCTGGAGGTCATACGGGGGGGACTCCCTGGTCTCTTAACTGTCATCTCCCCTGCTGGGCTTACAAGCCTGCCTATAGGATTGTTCTTCCGACAGATGAGAACAGTGATAATTACAGGCCATTGTACCCCCTGCATAGGCTACTTCCTCGCCAACCATGCCTCCTAACTTGTACTGAGTTGCCACCCGGGTTCATGGTCTTTGCTCCAGTTCCTGGGTGCTAAACGATACACCAACTTCACATTCTTTTATTTTTTGAAGTTTTATTTTATTCCTATTGGGAAGGCAGATTTACAGAGAGAAGGAGAGACAGAAGATTTCCGTGTGCTGGTTCACTCCCCAAATGGTCACAATGGCTGCAGCCAAGTCAAAGCTAAGTGTCTCACATACAGGTGCAGGGTCCCAAGTCTCTGAGCCGTCCTCTCCTGCTTTCCCACGCCACAAGCAGGGACCTGGAAGGGAAATGGAGCACCTGGGACAGAAGCTGGCATCCATATAGGATTCCAGTGCATGCAAAGTGAGGCTTTAGCTGCTGAACCATTGTGCTAGTCCCCCAACTTCACATTCTGACATTGTGTCTTGATTTTGCACACGCTTCTCTAAACCCCATTCCTGCCCTCTTATGAAGTACCCTGGAGTTAGCTCTGGCCTAGACACTTAAACACACTATCTCTTGCTTAGCAGTAGTAACATTTACTTTCCCTTTTTACGGATGAGGAATCTGAAGCTTGATGAACTCAGTCGAGGTCCATCCACTTAGTGAAGTTAGAACTGGAGTCAAATTTTTTAAAGTCATCATGCCTTTAGCTGTAAGTACACTACTTAACATGACCTGAACAGTGATGACATTTGTTGTTCCACAGAACAACGCTGGCTCCTGCAGTGGCTGACATCGCTGGCAGAAATGCAGGCATTTCTCCCATACCATCCTTCCTTGGTGCAGTCAGGCTTTGTCCTAGCTGAGTGTTCCACAGGCTTCTGGATGCTCGCTGCCCCAAGGACACTCGGGGCAGGGTGGCCATCAGGTGTTCTCCTGTGTCTCTCTCATTTGGCTGGAATTGTAACATAGAATTCCAGAAGAGCACCTTAGCTTGTCCCCAGCCGACTTCTTTCAAAACCTTGCCAAATCCAGACGCACCTGACTAAGCATCCATTGGCCAGAGGAAGAAGAGCTGGGTGAGGGCCCCGGCTGATGCAGACTCATTCAGGGGAAGCACTTGTTCCCCAAACCCCTCTCAGTTCCCAGGTGGACTGCTTGGGAAGGACAGGCGGGCCAGCCAGGCTGGGCTCTCATCTTCCCTGCTTCTCTGAGATCTTGTCTTTCTCATCTGGCCATCTTCCCTTAGAATCTGAACTTCTATCTTTTTGTGTTTTTATCTGAAAGGCAGATTTACAAAGAGAGTTCTTGTATCTGCTGGTTCACTCCCCAGATGACTCTAACAGCCAAAGCTGAGCCAAAGCTCAACACCCCACGGGTGTTTCACCACTCCACTTCATCCTGGTGTCTGAACTCCCACACGCACATCCTATTCACTGTCTCTCACCAGTGTTAGAAATCTACAAGCAACTACCATGAGGCACAAACTGAGTTGGTGGATGTGGCACAAGCTTATGGAATCCTCACAGCCCCTTGGTCGCTTAGGCCAACTTAACCTTCATGTTATGCTTCAGGGTACTGTGCTCGAGAAGTTAAGGCACTGGCTCCAAAAAGTGGCCCTTGCAAAGCCCCCAGAGCCTCTGCAACCGTGGTTGTCCCGCGGCCTCCCGAGCTGCGTTCCCTGCAAGGCCAGCTGGCTTCAGCCTTCACATGGCTAGATGATCTGCATATGCTACTGTGAGGAGCAGGGTGAGTGTTGTCTTGCGTTTTATAAACGAAGGCAGGGACCAGGAAATGCAGCCTTCCCACTACGCACAGGGTGCCAGGCTGGAGGAAGAAGAGCTGATCCAGATTTATTCTGGGAGGTGCCCGCTCACAAAGCCCCGCCTTCATTCCTGGGCGGCAGGGTGACTTAGCCATTTCGGACGCAGTTCCCCACTTCTTGCGGCTGATTATGGCAAATGGGTTTAGTGTCGCCTTTTTCCCCTTGTTGCCAACCTGAAGAGCCCCTCTTTGCCGGGACTGCATCCCCCAGAAAGAATACTCTCTGGGCGCACCACGTCTGTCCCATCTTCTCAGGAGACTGCTGAGCTGGAAGAGGCTTGAGGAGCAAGTTGGGGGCCTGTGTCCCCTCCATGCCTTCTCGGCCTCAGGGATTTCCTCGGCCGGGAGGGTACAACCCTTTTCTGGAGTCTCAGCCAGGCCCCGCCTCCAGCCCCGCCTCCTCCCTCTGGCTGCGAGGGTGTGGGGCAGGACGCCCTTCATGGCCTGCCAAGAGCCTGGGCTCCAAGGGAAACAAACACTGCCTGGGTCCTTGCGGCTATGGCTGGTACCTTCTTACCAGGGCTCAACTCTCCAAATCCTCATTATATCCCAGGGTAAGACTCTACCCAGCGCCACCTCCTGCTGCTTGCCCCTAGGAAGGGGACCATGGGAATCTAGGGGGGTTTGCCACCTAGACCCCAGGGCCCCAGGTCCACAGCTTGACTGGTGGGGTCCTAGGCTGGGCTGCCTAGGCTGTCGGGTGGGGAAAGCACAGCAGGCTCATGGTGGTAGCTGGTGTGCCTCCCAGCTTCCTGTTGTCTTCTCCATGGGAACAGGGGAGGATGGAAAGCCCCAGCAGAGAGCTCAGGTGTGCCTGCTCCCCGTTATGCACCGGCCTTCAGAAAGTTCATGAAAGCATTGTATTGTGGCTTCCCATTGGAGGGGGTGGGGGGAATGGGTGGGCAGCAAAATAAACCTCAGGAGGCTTCCCTCTGTCCTTGGGGTTGGTGGGGTGGGGGTGGGAGGCAATTTCAGAAGTGAGAAGAGGGGCTGTGTGTTACAGGTACACTGGACATTGCCCCTTCCTGAGGTTCAGCATGGGCCAGACCTACGGGCAGGTGACTGGTCAGCTACTCCGAGGCCCTCCTGGTCTAGCCTGGCCACCTGCCCGACGCTCACTTCTGCCACCCATTCAGCCCCCAAGGTCTCCCACGGTCCTTGCAGGCAGCCTGCCTCTTGGGCATGGTCGCGGAAGGCTCAGCTCCAGTATGATCCCCGGGTACACAGGTTTGTATGCAGGTACGATCAGACACCCTCAGCCCAAAAACCTGTGTCTCCAAGTACCAACAAAGCTTTCCCACCCCCTGTACACCCAGGGTTTGTACCCCAGGCGCAATTCATCTTTGCCAAGAACTGCAGCCAGGTCTGGGCTGAGGCCCTGAACAGCTCAGCTCAGTGGAAGGGGAGTCCAGAGCTGCCCCAGCAGGTGGCCAAGGGAGAAACAGAAACAGAGAAAGACCAGGAGCCTGCACTGGAGCCAGGGGCAGAGAGGCCGCCGGAGCCCGAGCAGGCAGCAGAACAAGTATGGTGCCTCATGCTGGGCTGGGCACCTCATCCTGGGCTGGTCCTGGAGTTTCACTGGGGGATGCAGAAGGGGCAGTCAGAGGCTTGACTGCCAGCTCTGTGTCCCTTGGGGTTTGAGCATCGGAGCTGCTAACCCCATTTTCCTTTTGCTGACATCTCATAGGCTTCTCCCTACTCCATGGATGACACAGATCCTCAGAAGTTCTTCATGTCAGGTGAGAAGCAGGGCGACAACAGTGGGCCCGGGGGAGGCCCCTGGGATTCTGGGGTCCTTCAATTCTGTGTCCCCACCCCCCACCCCCCAGGATTCACTGGCTACGTGCCCGGGGCCCGCTTCCTCTTCGGCTCCAGCTTTCCTGTGCTCACCAAGCAGGCGCTGCAGGAATTTGGGCGGAAGCACTCTCGGGGCAGCGCCCTGAAGGGTCCTAACCCTCTCCCCCCACTGCCCAGGACCTACTCTCAGAACAAGGCTCTTCTGCCCCACTATGGGGGCTATGTGCCGGGTGAGCCTGGCTTGGAACAAGGCTTTGGGATGTGTGTATGGGGTTGGAGGGAGGGGCTCGGGGTGCTGGAAAGAAGGTACAGGGACCACAGATCACACAGTAAAGGACACTGAGGCGGCTTGCAGTAGTGGGGAGGCAGGGCCAGATTTTGGAGGGTCGGAGAACTGGGAAAGAATTCAACGGCTTCTACATGCCACTGGCCACACTTGACAGACTCTTTTGATCACACAGGGTATAAGTTCCAGTTTGGTCACACATTTGGGCATCTCACCCATGATGCTCTGGGCCTCAGCACTTTGCAGAAGCAGCTCCTGGCTTAGGTAGCTGGAGATCCAAGTTCTCTCTGCTCCTTCCAACCTTATACCCAGCCAGCTTTTCAGAGGGACCACAGAAAGAGAAAACGATCCAGAGGCTGAGCACCTTTTTTATTAATAGGTGTAATAAATAAATAAATAAATACATAAACAGAAGCCTGGGCTGCTCTTCCCTCTTCTGCCCATCAGGCGTGCCAGCTACAGACTATTTACAGCTGGGGGTGCCAAGGGTCTGGCCCCAATACTGTTCATCATCCACATCATTGCCTGGCCTGGAGAACCCTGCCAGTGGCCCTGCAGGCCACCTTCCCACAGAAGGACCTGCTTGTCTACGTAGAAGGAAGGCTGGGCCCAGCCGGGCCAGGTTCAGCCTGGCAGCCCAGGGTTGCGTCCCTTCCCGCCTCCTTTCCTGGAGGGAGGTCTGGAATGAGGTCACTGGGACAGTCACAGGGGAGTAAGTAATACTGAGCGTGGGGAGCAGGTGCCAGCACAGGGCGAGGTGGCCCCCAGCTCTCGGTCTGCTCTGCAGCCAAGCCCAAGGACTTGTGAGGGGCTCTGGGGCTCGGAGCCGGGGGGTGGTGAGGGTCCCTGAGGCCAGCAGCATGCACAGGGCCTCAGTTTTGGCTGTTTCCAGGGGTTGGACTTGGAGTTGGGGTCAACATCACGTAGGCCAGGGGAACTAGGCCAGTGTCAGGACCACGGCTGCAGCGCAGCCAGTCTCTGCCGGCTGGCCCCAGCACCCGTAGGATATCACCCTTGTGGAAGCTCAGCTGTCCAGGGCCTGTGGCCAGATGGTGGCACAGTGCCTGCACCTCGCTGGAGAAACAACACATGCTGGTCAGACAAACCCCATCAGAAGCCCTTCCTGGCTGCACCCCCTTGGCCCCTCCTGGCTCCCAGCTCACCATGGCGGCTTAGCAGGCAGTCCTGGAGAGCGTGGCTCCTGCGGGCTCTCCTTGGTTTCTGGCTCCCGTCGGACACCCACTGTCTGGGCCACCAGCTGGAACATGGACTTGTCCAGGCTCAGCCAGTCTGAAGGCAGCCTAGGGGAGAGTGGCTGGGCTCAGGCTCTGTTCACAGCTAGGCCAGACTCCATGCTCGGTCCCTCCACCTGTGCCCCACACATGGGCTCTCACCTGGCTGTGGGCCGGGCCTCTCGCTGGGCTTTTCGGGAACCAAACAGATGTCCCCACTTGATGCCGCCTGGGGAAGGCTCTGCGGCCGCTCCCTCACTTTCTGCTGGCGGGGCAGCAGGCCCCTCCCTCTCTCGACTGCGCCTCAGTTCAGCCAGCACAGAGTCAGGGGGGCTCCCCATCCAGAATGGCCAGCCCCTCTCCCGGCCAAGGGCTTCTTCGGGGGCAGGGCAGGCCTCGGCTCCCTCTACCACTCCCTCCCGGGGAGGTGGAACCTGGGGATGCCCCCCGGCTCCCCCTGCTTTCTTTTTGTCACTGCTACTACTGCTGCTACTACGAGGGAACCTAGAACCTTCCATGGAGCCATCAATGTAGACTTGGGAACTCTGCATGAGCTGGTACCACCAGCCAGCTTGCCCACTTCGGGCCCATTTGCTGTGCCCAGAGCCCCTGGCTGCCTCTGCCACCTCTTCTGCTTCCTCTTCCTCTTCTCCACCTTCTGGGGCCCCCACACCCTTCATTCGCTCCCCAGGCGCTGCTCGGTCCATGTCTCCAGAGCCCTCCTGGCCCCGCTCCCGGGCCAGCTGCAACGTTGAGTGGGCGGACAGCAGCAGGTCTTGGGACTCCCGCAGCAGCTCCTTGTGCTGCCGCTGCTGCTGCCCACTCTGCAGCAGCCGGTGCTGAAAGAGCAGGTCCAGGCTGAAGGGCAGCAGGGCCAAGGGTTGCAGCAGCAGCAGCAGCTCCTCGAACAGCCCAGGGCACACGGTGTGAGCTGCACTCAGGAAGCCCCAGGGCTGGTAGTGGGTCTGGATGATGTCTAGGAGGAAGAAGAAGGTTTGAGTCATTCAGAGAAGCACAGCCTGGCTCAAGGGGGTGGCTTTGTGAACTACACAATGACATGTGCTGTGCACACACACCCTATTTCCTTTGGTCATGCAGTGTGAAGACTTCCCCAACACTGAGCCCACAGGAGACAAGTACTGGGACTCCCCTATCCAGATTTCCCGATTTCCTGAGAGTCCTGCTCAACCCAGGGCTCTTACTTGAGTGGAATCTGGAACGGACTTGGGTGCATGTGTGCAGTTCCCTCCCCCATGTCCAGTGCCTAACGGCAGCCAGTCCTCCCTCTACCTGGCCTCTGAGGATTGGCCTCGTTTGAGAGACAAAGCCAGGTTCTGAGTGTTACCTTCGTGGTTATAGAGGTGATTAAACCAGAACTCCAGGGACCGAATGCTGCAGGGAGAGAAGGGAAGAGACTTGAGTTTCGTGTGGACACAGCCAGATACTGAGGTCCAAAGGAGACAGATACGAGGGCATCAGACCCCAAGAAGGAAATGTGCATAGGTATCACCCTACTACAGCAGGCTTGCTACCTGCTTCCCTTCACAGCTCTGGGGTGCTGGCAGGGGTATGCAGAAAGGGATTGACTGCATAAGACCTAAAATGTCAGGGCAGGTAATGAATGGAGGTGTAGGCAGCTCAGGGTCAAGGGTATCGGGCCATCAGGCTCATAGTTGACAAAGAAGCATACTAAAACTGGGTCCCAGAATGGACCAAAGATTCAAGCTGGATGTAAAAGTGGAACTGGAACGGAGAGCATCAGGGTTTCCTGGAAACGGAGTCACCTGATTAATTTCCAAACATGACAGGCTATGTGTTTGTAAAAGCAGCAGAAGACTATGGGAATGGTCAGTGCCATATGTTATTGGTGCAATGGGAAAGCCAGGACGGGGAGAGAGGGGAGGCCTACACCCTGGCCACAACCCCCATCCCTTCTGCTTAAGTCTAATGAGCTTGGGCACCAGAGCCTGGGGTGGGGGGGGGTGCAGGTCGAGAGTTGAGGGGAGACGTTACTACACCGCACACTCACTTGAGCAGGCCAAGGATGAAAGCGTCGAAGCGCATGGTGTGACTGGTGAGTTCTGGGAACTGGCTGACCTTGTTGTAGAGGCCGTGCAGAACCTTGGTGGATGGACCTGAGAGCAGAGGCCCGTGCTGTGTTTCTGCAACCCTTTGGTTGGTCCCAGGTCCCCATCTGGCTCCTCAGCACTCACCTAGCTGGGTGGAAGCCTCCACCACACTCCAGGGCATGTTCTTGCGCTGGCCAATGATGACGTCGAGCACAAAGGACTTGAGCCCGTCCTCCAGCACAGCCCGCACAGCGGGGCATAAGTACTTCAGCACCAGGTGGCCAACATTGGGGCTCACGGAACTGTTGCCCAGCTTTGCCTGCAGACACAGGAAGGAAGGGCAGGACACCCTCTGGAGACCGAGCCTGGCCCTTGTCCCTGTGGCCCTTTGTGTTTCTCCCTTGTCACCCCCATCCCTGAGCAGCCAGCTCCGGATAAGCAGAGGCAGGGTACAGTATGCGGGTCAGAGCTCGGTTCTTCACAGTTTCTTGCCTACCTTTACCCCAGGATCCCGGCTTGTGCCAAAATGGGCCACAATAAGGTCTACAGCCGTGTTCACAGCTTTTATCAGTCCTGCAAGAAAGAATGGATGTGATGGGTCCTTGAGAAAGCTCCTAGCGAAAGCACTAGGCTGACCCCCCCTGTGGGATGGGAAGGGCTCTCCACTCGCCTTACTATCCTTGCCTGTCCATGGGTCTCCCAAAGACACTTATGCCAGCGTGGTCCTGCTGTGCCCAGCTCTTAAGCCCTTCCTGTCCTCCTGGACCCATCTCCATAGAGTACCACCGACTCAACATTGCAGCTGGCGGGGGGGGGGGGGGGCAGGCAGGAGGGCCCTGGAGACATGGACCAAGCAGCGCCTGAGGAGTGAGTGAAGGATGTGCGGGCCCCAGAAGGTGAAGAGGAGGAAGCAGAAGAGGTGGCAGAGGCAGCCAAAGGCTCTGGGCACGGCAAGGAACTCAAAGATGGAACTCAAGACTTGCAGCTGCCTTCCTTCCACGCCCTCAGACTCCAATCTTGGATCAGCCCACCTCCCAGTCTTTTTGCCTGAGAAAGCAGGGCCCCTTCCTACTGTTGGAGACAATCCAGGTCCCTTGCCCAGTGCCTGGAAAGGACGACTCTGATCTGTGCCTACTCGGCATCCTCTGTTCCACTCTCTGGTCACTGTGCCAAATCTCTCTCCCCGTCCTCTCCAGGCCTTCTGACTTCCCTCTGCTGCAGGACCCTGACTGTGCTGTATCTACACCCTGCCCTCCCTCCCTCGTTTTCAAGAAAGTGGCCATTCCTCCTCTTGGCCAAGGCTCTTTCCTTTCCCTGCAAGGAACTTTGGCTTCATCTTTCTCCCTACAAGCTCTGTCCCTTCAGCCCACAATTAAACACTCCGTTCTTTCCTCACCATCTCACTGAAACAGCCTTGGTCTCAGTGCCATTGTCACTTGACTACATTTGTTCCTTGCCAGTCTCCATCTTCCTAAATGTCACCGACACACTTAGTGCTAGGCCATGGACCTGGAGCTCATCGCTCACACGGTAACCTCCCTCACCGTGCTTAGCTCACTCAGGGAAGGGCTGCTTTGGCCCTTGAGAACTGACCTTGGCCCCCTCCCCATCATTCACACAGGACCCAGACATCTACCTCTGGTCCCAGTGCTCTCCAACGCCTTCCTGGCACTGACTTTAATGCAGGGGTATATTCTGGAGGGTTCCATGGGAGAGACACACACATGGCCAGGAGGGGACAGCAGAAACCCTGACCCAAGTTGGCAGCGGAGGTGGGGGGGTGTTCTAGTCACCTTTTTTCTGAAGTAGGTCAATGGAAATGGCCTCTGAGTTGCCATCTGGTGACAGACAAAACTCTGCTGGGGGCTTCTCTGTCAAGGAAAAAGGGTCTTGGAAGTCAGGGCAGGTCAGTGGTAATGGCTTTAGTACCTGACCTAGAAAGAAGAGACAGAGAGAAATAAAAGCCAGTTCAGTGCTTGGAGAGTGCACCCTTGGGCCTGCTCCCAGAGGCCCTGGGTCCACACCCACACACCATTTAGCCGGCAGCCAAGATGGCCTGCAGCTGCCAAAGATCCAGGGAACTCAAAGATGGGGTTCCTGCGGGCCAGCCGAGCTTCCTGTGGCCTTCGGTCTAGGCTCCCTGATAGAGCAGGTGGCCCTAGCGGGTTCTTCCTCCTGTATTCCCGCCACTTGAGGGCTTGAGGGGAGAGGTGGTTGGCTGGAAGAAGATGGGATCAGCAGAAGAAAGAGGCAAGAGTTAGTAGGAGAAGGCTGTCGCATCTACCTGATAGACCCATGGGAAACACCAGAGTCAGGAATGTGTGCGCGTTATCCAGGGGTGCCAGGGAAAGCGGTGAAAACACTTTAGTCTCTGACTCTGGGCTATGGCATAAAGCGTTTGTGGTGGTGGTGATAAAGCTCATACCGTTACTGGGTCTGGAGGCCATGCCGCCCTCACCGCCTCCGCGGGCCAGGCTCTCTGCACGGCTAAAGCCAGATCTCCAGGAGCCCAGAGGTGGCAAGCTTCCCGTTCCATGGAGTCGGTACTCAGCCAAGGTCAGTGTCTTTGGATCCTCCTTCTGTGGCAGCTGGGAGGGGGCGGCATGGGCAGCAGGGCAGGGGTGGCTCCATGGGGCTAGGCTTTCTGGGGCTGTGGCCTGCTCTGGAGGCGGGGAGCACGAAGTGGAGGCAGAGGAGTCAGTGCTGGGCCCAAAGGGGCCAGCACTCCGGACAGGGGAGTAGCTGCCCAGGGGTGATGGCCGGGAGGTCTCTGGCTCAGGCCCAGCTTTCCTGGCACCTCGGCCACTGGTTCGGGGTGTAGATGCCTGGGGCTCCCTGAGGGGAGCGGGGGCTGGGCCCTGAGCAGCAGGGCCAGCTGGTGGGACAGGCTGCTGGGCACGGTTGCAGCCTGAGAGGCTGTAGAGCTGGGAGAGGCTGTGCAGGGCCCGGGTCTTGGCCAGCTGCTTGGGGAAGTGGTGCTGGAACACGAAGGGCTGGATGGGCAGTGTGGTTGGCCTCTGCTCCTTGCTGTAGCGAAGGACTGGTCGGCTCTCAGCACCACCCCCTGTAGCGATAGGGATGAAAAAGGAAATCAGACAAACAGACACAGAAGCCAAATGGGAAGAAGCAGAGGCAGAGAGGAGAGACGCTGCCCACTGGGAAAGGGACATGATGGGCCAGGCCTGGCTGGTAGCAACAGGGTGGGGCTACAGTGTGACACTGCTCCCCGCATCTTTTGTCAAACTCTCCCCTAGTGTTGTTATGACAGGCCTATACAACAGGCCTACACTTCTTTGTTGGTCTTTTTTATTTTCTCAAAAGAGCTCATTCATTGCCTTCACCACCCTCAAACTTTTCTCAACAACTTTTACTTCTGCCAGTGGCAACACCACCCATGTTGTCTCTATGGCTCAGAGACAGTCTCTATGGTCCCATAGATTTCCAATGTCCAGGTGATTTGGCATTTTCGCTCATCGTCCCTCTTCTCCACTCATTCCAGTGCATTTCCTTCTTGAGTAGATCTGACCACAATGGAAGATTTCTTTACTTGTAAGCAGAACCAGCTTTCTGTTGTCCCTGCCCACCCTCACGGCATTTCAGAGTTCACCTTCTACTCAGTGCTTGTCCTCTCCCCCCACCAGGGCTGGGCCCCTGTGCCCCCTCCAGCTAGCCTTCAGAACTAAACCCAGGACCCTGCGACGCTGAAGGACAGGGCTTGCGCTCTGTGGGTCCGAGACCCTGCACCCAACACTGGAATGAACACAAGGTGGTGCTATAAGCACCTTCATCAGCTACAATCCCGGGCGTGGCTCACAGATCCGCGAGCCAGGAATTAGTACTGGGCAGGTCAAGAAATGTGGAATTTATAAGAGATTGAGTCATTTCCTCGACATCACACGACTGGAAAGTGGCCAAGTTGTAATTCTGTATAATTTGGGGCCAGTGTTCTCACCACAGGACACTTCTTGGCTGGGTCTTCCTTTCCCTCGCATTATTTCATCCATGAGTCACAGTGGCTGAGACCACAGCCCATTAAGGGAAGAGTTTCAGAGTCACTCCCAGGGGACATTTTCAAAGTAGACCCTCCTGCCTCTTCTAGTCGATGCTGAAAGAGCAGACTTTGCCCTTCTCGTTAACTCTCTATGCTTCAGCTACATCTGCCTCTGTTCTTAAATACACCAAGCTCAGGAACTCAATCTTCCGCCTGTCCACCCTCCCAGCCCCTCTGGCAAATACCTTTCTACCCTGTTATTCCATTTCATTTTCTTTTTAGCTCTTTTCACTAACAGCAATGATCTTTTAAATGTGCTTATCACTCCTGATAAGAACTCCAAAAAAGTAGGGGCTTTGTATGCTAATTGCTGTGTCTTCTGGCAGGAATCAAAGGGCTGAATCCTCACAGTTCAGCTTGTTAGGGACCTGGCTGGCTTCAGGAGGCCTCACTTTCATGTGCCCTCCCTGGGTTCCCCCGCCCCCTCCCGATCAGCTGTTCAGGGAGGCACTGCTCTGCCCACGCTCAGCCCATGAAGCTCTACACCTGTCAGCCGGATTCTCTACCCATTTTGCTTTTCCCACCTGGATGCCTTCTCCCTCTCCACTAATTTAAACACCAATTTGTAGGACTGAGCTGACCCCTGGCTATTAAGCTAGGTCCTCCCATCCAGTTTTGTTATACCCCCTACGTAAGTATGTCTGAATTAGACTGTTTTATTCCTACCCTTAAAAATATACCCAGGACAGGGTCAACATGCTGGCGTGAACATGTTAATCCTCCATCTGTGGGGCCAGCATCCCCTGTGGGTGTGGGTTCAAGCCTTTCTCTATAATCCTAATTAAAGTTTGAAAAGAAATCCTCCCTACTAAATTCCCAGAACGTGGCTGGAAGCAGAGCAATGCAACCAGACCCCAAGGGGGACTGGGTGCTCTGGGGGGAGCAGAGGGACCAAGTTTTCTCGCTGTTCTAGGTGACAGCCTTTCAAAATTGGCCACAGAAGCCACATTCCCCAGTCAGCTCTTTGCTGGGACAAACAGCCCCTCTCCCAGTTCTTCCTTACACTACAGAACGTTGGGGTCCCCTCCCATCGAGTCCCTCTCCTAGCCCAGAGCTCAGCAGAATGCTGGGGTGCGCTTCCTGGCTCTGTAGTTTGTATGCGAATCCAATCACTTGTTTTTCAAAGTCCTTCTGTACTACAAACTCAAATTCAGCTTAAAATCAGTTCTATATTCCCAGTCAGCTCAGTACAGCTTACAAATGCAGCTTCACGTTGGTGTCCTTTTGAGTCCTGAGTTTGATGCTTTTTTAGCTTCTTAATGTCAATCACAGATTGGAACAATCTGTGGCTTCTTTTTCATTCAAAAATTCAATGACTTGTCTTTTTTTTAATTAAAAAAAAGAGCAAAATTAAGAAAAGAGCCCAGTAGTGGTTTACTGAAGAATTATGTAACATTGCAGCAACTTGGTATAGTGTTATAGCATTAAAAACTCCACTTCCATCTACCATCTTGTCTCTGTCTGACTGCGGAGTCCTGGCAGCCCAGCAGAGTTTCCCCATAGATCCTGCAGTGTAAGGGAGCGGGGGCTGACGGTGCGACTCCCCCAGAGACTTCCCCTACATTCTTCACCCCAAGGACATTACCTCTGTGTGTGGTTCAGGGAGTGACATCTTGCAATGGGTTGAAGCTTCTGAACTACATTTATGGTTTTTAAACCCCTTTCCCTTGAGAAACCAACAGACCCAAACTAAGGCTTTGGGCACAGCCATTTGGGACTTCACTGCCCCTGCCTTCCCAACTCCGCACATCCCACTCCTGAATTGCTTCCAGGATTCCTCAGCTTTGTCTTGGATTTATCTTTACAACTTGTTCGGCTGAATTTAATTCTTTTTTCAGACTTTCTCCTCTGATGGTTCCTATGACTCTGTCCAGTCTGGCTATTTTTTCTCAGTCTTTTTTTGAGGGTGGCCCAGCTCACCCCTGGCATCACAGTATTCTCATCTTTGTTCCCCTTGGGTGCCCTCACCCATCCAGATCAAGTCAGCTACCATTTGTATTCTCATGGCCTCCAATCTACATGGAAACAGCCCTTCCAGTCCATCTTCCAGCCAACCAATGATCTTTCTAAAATGCAAATCAAAACATGGTGGGAAGCAAACAAACAAACAAAAAAACAAATCCCCAACCAAATAAAACAGTGATTTCCCTGGTTAAATTCCCCCAGGGATCCCATCCCCATTCTCCCAGGACGGTGCCAAACTGCCACGCCTGCGGCCTCTGGAAAGCATCAACCCTTGCGTCCTTGGGGTCTCGTATGGACTATTCTTTCAGCCCAGAATATCCTTCTTACAAGTCTCCCCAAAGCTGAGATGTAATCATCTTCTGAGCCTGGGCTTCACTATGAACCCTGTGAGTGGTTCTCCCTCACGACATCCCAGCCTAAGGTAGCCCTTCTCATGGCCACAATGCCAACTCTGCATCACAATTCTGTTTCCAACCTTAGCGGCAACTCCTGGAGAGCAGCTACAGTCTATCTCATCTCTGTCACTGGCAACACATTAGTATAAGAGAGGGAAATAGCTGGCCCTGGGAGGCTACCAGGAACTTAGAGATCTCAGCTCCCAGGCTGCTCTGAGGGTGGTGAGCATCACTGAACAAGGACTCAATTTCACTGATACCCAATGAGGTTTCCAGGCAGACATATCCCCTTGGTTGTCTCTTAAACACTGAACATTCCAGATTTCCAAAGCTGAATTCAATCCTGCTCCTTTGCCAGTAAATCTACTTCTGTGTTTAGATGCTATCCAACAGGACAGATGCTGTGGGCTGGAGAGTGAAGTGCAGCCTGGGATGCCTGTATCTGTATAAGAGTGCCTGGACTCAGCACCGCCTCTGCCTGTGTGTACAATCCAGCTCCCTGCTCACGCGCATAGGAGGCAGCAGAAGGCGGCTAGGGGACGGAGCCTTGCCCTGCTGTTCCAGACCTGATGGAGTTCCTGGCTTCTGGCTTTTTAGCTCTGGTAACTGCAGCCCTTTGGGGAGTGAATCAATACATGGGAAATCTCTCTCCTTGTCATTGCCTTCCAAATAAGTAAAACAAAATAAATCAAAAGTTATGTAAAAAGAAATTTCTCTTAGGATTTTCCCATAAACAAAGACACGTCCCCCCTCCCCCCAAGGCCCTATCTGAGTTACCAGGGTTTTTCCAGTAGTCATTCAGGTTCAGAACTACCATCATGCGAGTACTTACTTTTTCAATACATCAGGATCTCTGAAGCCTGTTGATTTTTACACCCTCAGTGAATTTTTTTTCAATCCTTTGTCTTCTTCCCTTTGCCCCACCCTATTATAGGACATGACCCAGACTAAAAAGACAAGAGGTCTAGGCTGAGGAGTCTCTCAGCGGTGTAGATGGATGGCTGCTGGGGACCTGGCACCAAGGCGGCCATGCGAATCTCCTGGTACTCCCTAGCCTTTGGGCTTCTTACCATCGGCTCTAGCTCTTGCATCTCTCTGGCTGTGGCTGTTGGCTGTGTTCCCTGGCACGGCAGGCACTGGATCCATCGGTGGAGCCAGGGCACCTTGCTCAGCAGCTCTGAAGCCAACATGTGGCATCAGACTGGCTTGGGGGCCCTGGCAGATCTGGGTGGACCAGGGTTCTGGACCAAGTAGGTCTATCGCTGGTACCAGGGGCATAGGCGGTAGACTGTGGCTACAGTGAGGAGTGCCCTTTTCCAGTGGCACTGCCCTGTCTTGCTGGGCTTCCTGGATGGGTGAGAACTCCTGGGAGGAATCCCCAACACTCAGGCGAAGCGGGGGAGAGCCAGAGCAAGCAGCCTTCTTCCGGCCTTTGGCCAGTTCAGCGAAAGAAGTGACCCTCTTGGGTGGGGAGCTAGGCCCGGCCAGGGCTGCAGGGCCCTCACTCAAGCGGACTGGGCAGCTGAGCATGCGTTCTAGGGAGCCCAGGCGGACAGCAGGGCTGCGCTCCAGGCTGCGGTCATAGCTGCGGGAGCGCTGCCGTCCGGTGCTGAGGTTAGGGGGTGATGTGTTCGTGTACACTTGTCCCTCAAGCACAGTGGGACTCGTGGCAGCTGCTGTGTCTGCTGAGGAACCCACTGCCTCTGGTTCCTCTGGCTGCACTTCAGGTTTCTGGAACAGGTAGTACTCTGAAGGTTGGCCAGGGCCTGGCTCTGGCACAGGGCCTGGTGGGGGACTTATCTTGGTGTGTTCCTCGGAGCAGCTGGTGATGGAAGAGCCGGCTGGGCTTGGGGATGACTGGGAGGACAGGTCACAGGTGACAAGTTTGTAGTAATTCTGCGTGGCCACAACAAGACGGGCCTGACTCTGGAAGCAGGCAGTGAGGTCAGCCACAGCCGGGCAGGGCTCACAGTGCGGACGGTAGGAGTTGCAGTTGGCATCCAGCTCAGGAGATGAGGCATGAGGACAACCGTAGCCCCCTTCCCTTCCTCCGCTTTCAGGGTGGTGGGACTCGCAGGACATCTTGGACTCAGCAGGGGAGGGCTGCAGGTCCAGATAGAAAGCGCCAGGGTCGGAGTGGCTGCAGAAGGAGGAGTCGCTGCAGGACTGGGGAGCTGAGTTGAGGTTGGCGCGGGCACTGCCATGCATCTTATTATAGAGAGTGCTGAAGGTGACCAGCACACCATCCGAGCTGTTACAGGAGGAGTCGCTCACATAGCCCATGGACTGGTCGGCTGCCTCAGACTGACTGGACGTGCTACTGCAGCGGCAGTGCTGGGCTCCTGGGCCCGGGCAGCTGGGGTTCCTTGGAGACTCATCTGAGCTGAGCTTCCACTCCTGGTCAAAGGAGAAGCCCGAGGTGTCACTGGCTGCCCCTGCACTGCCACTGCCACCAGGTCCCCCACACTCATCCAGCTCCATGGTCTCTGCTTCCAGCTCTGGCCGGCAGCGGTGGCTGCTGCTGCACTGCTGGGTGCCCGAGGTCGCTGCTGGCTCCTGTTCCTGGCCCTCCACCACACCAGCCCGACTGCGCGCTGCCCCCCAGGACCTCCCCACTCTGGGGCCAGATGGTGGCAGCTGGAAAGAGGCTAGATGGAAGGTGGGCTGGCTAGTGCTGTGCAGGTGGAAGGACTGCTGGGTGGTGCTGTCACTGATGCTGTCATCATACAGGTCACCGAGTCCTGGCTCCCCCACACCTTCCTGCAGCAAGAAGGGATTGTGCCGTTTGGGGGCCCCAGAACCTCTTCCATCCCGACTCCGACTCTTGGTGCTGTCTGTAGACTGGGCGGATCCCCCTGGAGCAGAATGCAGACTGCTGTAGAGCAGGGAGTCAGCTTGTCCCAGGTCTTGGTCAGGCTGGGTGAGGCCCAGTTTGGGTGGGCAGAAAGGATTGGGTCTTGTGCTCCCACTGCTGCCACTTGCCCCTCCACAGCACTGTCTGTCTGGGACTTGACAGTGCACCAGGGGGATATGGTGGACGATGAGGGTCTCTCCCGTCAGCTTTGGGGGACTATCCATTCTGGAAAGTTCGAACAAGGGCATCAACGGCACCAGACACTGCCCCCAGAGCCCAGTGGGGCAGAACACATTGCATCAGGAGATCTTGGCACCTGGAGAGAGAGGGAAAAAAAGGGAACCTAATGTGACGTCCCTGTAGCCAGGGACACATCCTTTGTACCATTTTTAAGCCCAAGAAGAAGACTCCGAGTCAGGTGCGAGGTCCACCAGCCCAGCAGAGTGGCTGGAACCCTGCTCCACTTTCCGCACTGCACAGGCCCAGCTTCTGAGCCATTCCCCACTCCTTCCTTTCAAGGACCCCCATGTATCTCTGCCACATGTGACTAAAGGCCAGGCCTCTTTGAGTGCCACATAGGAAGACCTGGGGATCTCAAAGACAGAGCTTTCCCCCTTTTCTTTCAAGGACCCCGTCTGTGGCAGTGAACAATCTTAGTCCCAGGTACAGAAAAGAATGAATAGTGCATGCTACAATGCCTGGGAAGAGGACAGGATGTGAGGCACTGAGGAGACACACAGGTGCCTTAGACTTGGCCACAGCACGCAGGTGAACAGCCGGGGAGAATGAGGGCTCACAGAGCAGGCACGTCACAGCAACAAGTTCTGAGTTTGCAAGAGACTTTAAACACATTTCATCATTTGACCCCCTTTCTCCTCTGAGCCTGAGGGTATCTGTCCCTGTCCCAGGACTGTACGTGAAATGATTTCATTGCCCTTCCTACTATGTTAGTGCTTTTCTCATGCAGACTAAGTTGGGCCTGGGAGAGGGGATATTCTGTCTTTTGTGCCACGCTAGCACTTTATCACCAGGTGCAGACCTCTTGAAGTGTGGCAATTCTGCCCATGCTAGCCTAGAAGCTTCATTACCCAGAAGCCTTAGCAAGCCTTCCTTCAGGTTTATTCCTTATTCAGGATAGGCTATTCTAAACTTCTCTGTCCCTTGGCCACTGTTCCAACAGTCTTCACTTCTCATACATTTCTCTTTCTTCTTTTTCATTCCTACTATTTTCCTTTCATGTCCTCTGAATTTACATTTTTCATCTCTTTTTTCTTATTCATCATTGAAGTGAGCCCTTAATGCTACCAATTTCTTTAAATTTCATTCATTTAGACTGAGGAGTACCAGCTCTTCACATGCAGAACAGAAAGTCGCTGGACAAGTCATCAGTGCTCAAGGATGCAAACAGGCAGTTCATTAAGGAAAAAAAAATTAAAATGGTTAATAAACACATGTGTGAGGAACAAAGTACTAAAATGTAAGAATTTGCAGTTAATTAAATTATATTAAGGATAGAAGTCCTCTACAAATACTAAAATCCACAAATACTCAATGCCCTTTTATAAAGCAGCACAGCACTTCTGTATAATCCATGTATATTTTCTCATACAATTTAAGTTATCTCTACATTACTTAATACACTATAAATAAAATGTAAATGCTATGTGAACTGCTGTTGTACTGTATTGTTTAGAAAATAATGAAAAGAAAAAAATCTGTACTATTTGCATATTTTTGATGTATGAATGTGGAGGGGCCAACAGTATTAGCGATCTTTCTTCCTTTTTCCCCAGCCCCCGCCAGCTCTTTTGTTGAACATCCAAGCCTTTGTGTGCTGATTAGGGCAGTGACTAGAGAGGTAGGAGGGCTACCGTGAGCTGCAAGATGAAATGTAACAGTGGAAAATACAGAACATCTTTATTATTTTGGATTAGGTTAAGTTTCTAAGATATGACATGAAAAGCACAAGTGATCATGAAGAAAGAAAGAGAGGGAGATAGGAAGGAAGAAAGAGAAAAACTGGCTTATGCTGTACTTCAAAGAATGCTTAAGAACCTGTGAAGACAATCCACAGATTGAAGGAGAATATTTGCAAATCACACATTCAATGAGACAATACATCAAGTAAATTCGTGTAACTTGAGAATAAAAGAGATATAACCTAATTGAAAACTGGGCAAAGAATCTGAACAGTCCTTTCTCCTAGGAAAAACACAAGTGGCTACCAAACTCCTGAAAGGGTGCTTTTTAAAGATGCCTTAAAGCAGACAACAAGTGCAGATGATGATGCAGTGAAAAACTGGATTCCTCAAACACTGGAAGGGGCATCATAAGATAGTACAGTTACTTTGGGAAACAGTTGACAGCTCCTCAAAATGTTAAACAGTTGCCACATAGCCAACAATTCCACTGAGTCTAAACCCAAAAGAAATGAAAATATATGTTTACACAAAAGCTTGTATATAAATGTTTACAGCAACAGTGTTCACAGCAGCCAGAACTGATGACTAGATAAGCAAAACGTGGCATATACTTGAAATGGAATTTTATTTGGCAATAAAGAAAATGAAGTTATGATTCAAGGCACAACATGAACGAACCTGAAAAAGATTATGCTGAGTCAAACAAACAAAAAACCCCTGTGTTGTATGAAGCTGATTGGTTTCATTTCTATGATGTATCCAGCTCAGGCAGATCCACAGGAGAAGAAGCTAGAGCAGCAGGTGCCTATGACCACGGGGCTGAGGATTGGGGAGTGGCTACTTCACGCCTGTGGAGGCTCTCTTTTGGGTGATAATGTTCTAACATCAGACAACAGTCATGGTGACACACCTTTTGCTTCTTATTGTAACTACAGAATTTCACTGAGTTTGAATTATCTCAGTAAGACTAAAACATTTCAGCCAGGAAAAAATTAAGGTTTATGGAAACAGGCTCAGAGGGGTGAAGAAGAGGACTAGCGTTGAGCAGTGAGTGAGTCTGGCATCTGCAGAAGCAAGCAGAGAAACAGCTGTTCTTAAAGATGGCATTTTGAGAATCAGAGAGACAAAGACAATAATCAGGAGGTTTTGCCATGAATTACTTGAGATAATTTTCCCTTTACTCCTTCTCATCTATTTTTTTAACCAAGAAAAATTTGGATTCAAATGTATACTCACACACACACACATACATATTAGTATATATATCCTACTAAAATCCTAAATGTATACATGAGATGCTAACACATAGATACATATACGAGACACAACTTCATTTCCTCACCAACACGCACACACACCCCTATGAAACCATCACGGTTCAGTCAAGGCTCCAGCCTAGCAGCATAGCAACCGGATCACTTCCCACAGGCACGACCTTCACACGCCACAGGTGATTAAGTTTACACCGTAATGCATTGACCATCAGCCATCACAGACTCTGAGGACCAGGCTCCTAGCCCAGCTTACTGGGAGACATCCAAACTAACGTTTAGAGGCATTGCAGTTGAGAACATTCTACAATCCCAGTAATAATCAACCAATGAAAGCAATACACAGAACAGAATGTCATTAAAAATTATGTGTTCACATGACTACTGGCTTCAAAGATGGTCACAGAATAATAGTAAGTGAAGACAGCATGTTATAAGCAACATGGAGGGTATGACACCGTTGTGTAAATAAATATGTCTCAATGCACGGAAGAAAAATTGAAATACATGCAACAAAATGTTAATGCCTCTTTCTGCTTAGTGATTTTGAATTTTTTGAAACTTTTTTTGGAGGCATTCATACTCCTTTTCTTTATTTTCTTAGAAAATACTTATTTATTTGTGTGTGAGAGAAAGACATCTTCCATCACTGGTTTACCCCCACCCCCAGATGTCCATAATTGGCTGAAGATTGGAGCCTAGAACTCCATCCAGGTCTCCACTGTGGACGCAGGGGCCTAAAGAGTTGGGTCATCGTCCACTGCTTTCCCCAGTGCGTTAGCAGGGAGCTGGGTCAGAGGTGAGCAGCATGGATGTGAACCAGCTTCCATATGAGATGTTAGCACTGTAGACAGAGGCTTTACTCACAGTATCACAATGCAGGCCCCTCATATTTATTTTCTAGTTTGTGTATAATAAAATGCTTTATATGCATACTTCAAATTTTTTTCTTTCCATGGGGTGGGGGGTTCCCCCTTACATACAATACTAGATTTTCCTTAAAGTGCAGGCCATAATCCCAAGGCCTGGACTCAAGGAACACAGAGAATTTTTCTGTACATATAGTGGCTATTCTAGGAATACTATGGACTACAAGCATCACTGATAATGTGTCCTCTTTTCTCCCCCTTTTATCTACACTTTACTCAAGTATTTTCATTTATTTGGAGTCAGAGAGAGAGAGAGAGGAGAGAGAGACAATGATTTTCCAACTACTGGTTTGCTCCCCAAATGGCTGCAAGAGCCAAGCTAAAGCTAGGAGTCAGGAACTCTATTTGGATCACCCACATGGGTGACAGGGGCCCAAGCACTCACAGTTGGGGTGTGCCTTAGCAGGAAGCTGGATCAGAAGTGCAGATCGAACTTGAATCCGGGCATTCTGATAAAGGAAGCCAGCATCCCAAACAGCATCTTCAATCGCTGGCAAACACCCGGCCTCTCGTTCCCCTTCTAAAGGACCATTTTCAGGGAGTGTTCACCAGTGGATATCACACACACACAGTGGAAGTGACGATTCTGACCCAGTGAACTATCACAGAGATGAGCATTCAGACAAGAAACCATGGTGCTGCACAGACAGAACTTATACAGCCAGGGAGAAGTAAACAGACGCAGCCGGTGGCCCTCAATGAAAGGCTGGTGAACAGATGCAGCCGGTGGCCCTCAATGAAAGGCTGGTGAACAGACGCAGCCGGTGGCCCTCAATGAAAGGGTAGTAACAGACACAGCCTGCGGCCCTCAACAAAACGGTGGTGAACAGATGCAGCCTGCAGTCCTCAACGGAAGGGTCGGCAGCTGTGTTATAATGTCGGCTATACACACCTGGGTCCTAAACCAGAGAAGAGTTCCTGGAGATCAGAGATGGAGAGCTAGTCAATCCATGTCCCTACAAGTTACCACACAGTCCTTGGAACACGGTCAATGCTTGGTTATCTGTTTAGTATTTTACTCATTTCATAAAATTGGGTTGCTTTTTATCATGGAAGTTTTAAAAATTTATTCTGGATAAAATTCCTCCAGTTATATCCAGGTCTTACAAATATTTTCTCTCAGTTGGAGGCTTGCTTGTTAGTTTTCTTAACAGTGTTTTTTTTTTTTTTTAATTAATAGACATTTTTAATTTTATGAAATTTATCAGTTTTTTTCTTTTGTAATTAAGGCATTTGATACCTTAAGTAGTCCTTACCTATCTCAAAATCATAAAATAATTTTCCTTTAAAAACTGTAGTTTAAGCTTTATAAATTTGAGTTGCATTGAATCTTATTTTAAGTTCCAAGCTATTTCACTAATTTTTAATTTTAACTTAGATTTTTGTCCTAAGAGATTATTATTTCTTTCTGATCTGCACAGTTTCTGCGCAGTGAGGGAAATGTCTGTCACCAGTCTTGCAGATAATCCGGCCAGTTTAGACGTGGACGTCTGCAGGCCCGGGATGTTGTCATCATGCTTTGCCCCACACCCACTTTCCATCTTTCACAAAACATGTATCTACACGGGACTGATCTTCACAACAACTTCATAAAGGAGGCAGACTTGTCGGCGTGAAAACGGACAAGGCAATGGACGCCTAGGAAGACGAATGACTTGCCCAGGTCCCCTCGGTGAGTAAACCACAGCCAAGACGGGACTGTGGACGTGTGTTTTAGATCAGTTACAAATGCGATCAGACTGCACTAGACCTGGATGTCAAACGCCCCCAAGGACATTTCCTGAGCGCTCATCTCAGGCTGCATTCCTGAGTGTTTGGTTCTAAGGTCGGGACGAGTTTATTACAACGGGCTATGAGCTCTGGTGAAGGTGGAAAACAGAGAAAACAGGGCCACAGGCTCTTCCCGAAGGCCTTGTGCTTTCTCTGCTCCCGGAGTAGCCGCTTCCTGCTTCTCCTGGGCGCCCACACTCTAGCTTGAACAGGTTGTCTTTACAGGCCTCCCCATTTTCTGCCTCTAGTTCCTTTTAGATGACTGTCTCCTTGCGTGTAGACTACTCATCAATCCCCATCCCATTCCATCCCACTTCCCAGCCCTCTCCTCCCTGTCCCATGGACGGCCCCCAAATCTCTTTCCTCAAGACGCTTTGGGAAGTAACACACTCCTACAACTTCCCAGGGTATTTTTCAATCACCTATTTTATGTGGGCCAGTGGACTTCAGGAATTTAGATAGCGGAACCCTGGGCAGAAAACTGCCAGCAGGAAGGTTTCTCTTGTCTTGGGCATCTGTGTCTTTTCTGCCAGTCAGTTAACACCCTCCCTCCTTTCTGGCCTCCTGAAGAAAGACAGGGAGGACAAAGGTCCTCAGTTGCTATCCCCCGGCAGGCTGACCTTGACTCCAGGTTGAGGGGAAGCCTCAGGATCAGGTACTGTTGCAGGAGGGTCGATTTGGGAATGTGAGCTCCTGCTCATGTCTCCTCCTGCTAGGAATCTAGGTCTGCCTAAGAAAGCGGATTAGGACAGGTCCTATGCCCTGGGCACTGCACTCACTGTCCCCTGCTCCTATTGTTAACTGTGAGGTGTCTTGTCGACATTGCTTCTTACTCCATTCTTCCTAAGAGTCTGGTGGCTCCCACAGCATCAGAAGGTATGGCGTGTGTGTGTGTACGCTTGTGTGGGTATGTCAGGTGTGTGTGTGTGTGTGTGTGTGTGCATGTCTGTGTGCAGGTATGTCACAAGGTGTGTGTGCCTGTGTGGGTATGTTAGGGTGTGTGTGTGTGTGTAGGGCAAAGCTACCCAGCTCCTCCCGGAAGCTGCACCAATGCCCGCATCTCCTCCCAGAAACTCTTTGTTTCTAGATGTGACCCCCCTCTATGCTGACCACAGCAGCTAAGGCAGCAGCTTCATTAGAAAGGAAGGATGGAGTCTCTATGCTTCTTGAACCGACATAAATAGCATTGTAACGCTCAACCTCTATTACCCGTCTCTGCAGCACTGCCCAGATGCATGCATGGACCAGCCTGCCTAGTGCTCGCACACGCCACCCCTCCCTCTTATGGAAAGACAAAGCCGGTTCTCAAAAGCCAAGACACAGAGGTCCAAATGCCGAAGGCTGATGCAGTTGGCTCTGCACTGCCCCTCCCCCAGCTCTGCCAGCCATACCTCAGCAAGCGGCCTTCAGCTGGCCCCCGGAGGCCTCCGCTCCTCTTGCTGTTGGCCTTGACAGTTCCCGCTGAGGCACTGTTCCACGGCCCACACAGGTTGGGGGGCGGGGGGGGCCGGGGCCGATTTCCTAAGATCTGATTTCTGCTAATACAATGGCATTGCTGCTAATGCAGGGAGGCTGCGCAATCCCAGCCCCAGTCTCCAGGCGGCTGCCGCGGCCGCTGGTGCTGCGGTGACGTTGCTGCTAAGGGAAGGGGGAAGGGAGAGGAGCGGGCATGCCCACAGTGCAGCCGCTCAGCCTCCCTCCGCGGCAGTCCCCCTGGGCCTGCGAGTCCAGCGAAGGAGGAGGGGAGAGAAAGGCGGTGGCGGCAGAGGGCAGGCGCTGCTGCAAGGCGCACAAGTCCGGGAGCCCAGGGAGCTGGGGTGAGCGCAGCCTCGTGCTCCCTGCAGTCCCGAGGAAGTCTGGGCAGAGCCTCGTTGCTTCCTTCCTGCCTTCCTTCCTCAGGCCCCTCCTTTTGGAGCCCAGTGAGAAACTAGTCCCTCCTGTCCTCTCTCCCAATGACCCTCTGTTTCCAGCCTTTTCTCCAGGGCTCCGGACAGGCCTAGGGGTGGGGCTGGCGGCAGGGAGGGGATTCCTGAGGGTAGGAAGGGAGGCTGGTGGCTGCAGCCGTCCTCCCACCCAACCCGGTGGGCCTGCCCCTTTCCGCAGGCTTCGGCACACAGGGTGGGAGCAAGCCTTGGGGTCAACACACGTTCCATTCAATGCTGTGGATCTTTAAAGGGTCCACTAGTCGTGGCAGAAAGTATAACAGGCCCCTCTCACAGTGCAAGAAGAATCAAGAAAGACCTGTCCCTTGGGCATGAGAGTGGGTGCTGGGCAGACTGAACTCTTGGAAGAGAAGATCTCTGTTCTCCATGAGGAAAAGGGTCTGTTAAAGAGACGCCTGGGCAACAAAGGAGTAAATTCTCTTTGACCTTGGGTTAGTCAACGAATTCTTCAACACTGATACCAAAAGTTTAACAACAAAAGACTCCACAAAATTTTAAAACTTCTGTGCCTCAAAGGACACAATCCAGATCATGCAAAGGCCAGGTCCTGGGTTCTCAGTGCCCTGCTTGGGCTCTTTCTAATTCCGGGAAAGCCAAGTGAGGGTGCTTCTTGGAGATCCAGCCACACGGATGGGCTGTAGCTGGGCTACCCTGGCCTTCGGCATCTACAGGAATCTTTACATTCAAATGTAGTCTTGTGATTGTGTAACTTTTCTCAAAACACTGGAAGTCAAAAAGTAGCAGGAAGGATTGAAGCTGGGTAACCATTTTTGAGGTTTGCGAATTCAAAAAGTTGCAGGAATGGGAAGCTACTTGGCAGCAGAGAAAATGACATGAGGGGCTCAAGCAGCTCTGACACATACAGGCTAGAGGAAGTAGGAAAACTCTTTGAAAGAGAGGCCAGGAAGTCAGGAATGGAAGCCAGGTGGTTCAAAATGGGTGTCTCCACAACTCCACGACAAAAAGATTGATAATCCTGTTTAAAACAGGACAAGGGACTTAAACTGGCATTTCTCCAAAGAAAACACAAATGGCCAACAAGTCATGACAAGATGCTCAACATTAGTCATTAGGGTGATGAAAATCAAAACCCAGTCATTGAGATACAACTACACACCCACTAGGATGGCTAACATTAAAGCAAATCAGCAAAAATAGCTAATCCAAAGACAACCCACAAAACTGGTGAAAATCCACAAATCATATATATGTTAAGGAACTTCTGCCCAGAAGTATATAAAGAATTCAGCAATAAAAACAAAACACAGAGGGTGGCGTGGCATAGTGACTAAAGCCTCAGCCTGTGATGCCAGCATCCCATATGGGCACCAGTTCAAGTCCCAGCGGACTTCCAATCCAGCTCCCTGATAATGTGTCTGGGAAAGCAGTGGAAGATGGCCCAAGTACTCAGGCCCCTGCACCCCCAGGGGAGCCCCAGAAGACTCTCCTAGCTTTGGCTTGGCCCAGCCCAGGTGGGTTGTGGCCCTCTGGGATTGAACCAGTGAATAGAAAATCTCCTTCTGTTTCTCCTTCTCCTTGTCTCTAATTCTGCCTTGTGAGTGAATAAAAAAGTAAAAAGACAACCCAATTACACATGTGCAAAGGATTTGATCAGCCATTCTCCCAAAGAAGACACACAAATGTTCAAAAGACCACCTAACATGCTTAACATTATGTCATTAGGGAAGTACAAATTAAGACTAAAAGGACATATCACTTGACCCCTACTAGAGTGGTTACAACAACAACAACAAAAAGACAAAAGTAAGTATTGGCGATTGTGTGGGAGAAAGTGCTGGGGGCGTTGTACAGCAGTGCAAACACTGGTCCTTATAATCCAGCAATTCTGCTCCTCAGCACAGCATCCAGGAAAACAACAATGTGTCCACATAAAAGCTTATACATGAATGTTCATGGTGTCAGTATTCACAATAATCAAAGATGGGAACAATGAGAATGTTCATCAAAAAGGAAATGGGAAACATGGTAAATCTGTACAAAGGAAGAGTATTCGGCAATAAAAAGGCATGAAGGTAAATGCTACGTCAGAGATGAACCTTGAAAACATGCTAAGTGAAAGAAGACCGCGTAATGTTGACTCCACTTGAGTGAAATGTCTATCACAGACGACTCTATAAAGATTAAGTAAGAGTAGATCATGGTTGTCAGAAGCTAGAGGGAAGGAGAAATGGGGACTGATTGCTAATGCATGTGAGGTTTCTTTTCTTTTTAAGATTTATTTACTTTTTATTGGAAAGTCAGATATACAGAAAGGAGGAGAGACAGAGAGAAAGATCCTCCATACGGTGGTTTACTCCCCAAGCAGCCACATCAGCCAGAGCTAAGCCAATTCAAAGCCAGGAGCTTTCTCTGGGTCTCCCACATGGGTGCATGGTCCCAAGGCCTTAGACCGTCCTCGACTGCCTTCCCAGGCCACAGGCAGGATGCTGAATGGGAAGTGGGGCCCCAGGGATTAGAACTGACACCCATATGGGATTCGGCATGTGCAAGGCAAGGACTTTAGCCATTAGGTTACTGTGCCAGGTCCACATGTGAGGTTTCTTTTAGGGAGGATGAAAATGTGTTAAAATTATGGTCATAATTGCCCAACTCTGTAAATATATTAAAAACCTCAAAAAAAAAAAAAGAGAGAAACAGATGAATTGTACACTGTAAGTGACGAAACACAGGATATGTTGAGTGTATCTCCAGCAGGGGTGTAAGCATGTGGTATGATGTCTGGCATGTCCCACGGGACACCTGCATCCAGGCCCCACTTCCGATCCAGCCTCCTGTGACATCCTTGGAGGCCTCACGTGATGTCCTAAGAGGTTGAACAGCGGACTTAGATTGAGGTCCTGGCCCTTTGCTCTGACCCAGCCCAGCCCTGGCTGTTGCAGGCACCCCAGAACAAACCAGCAGGTGTGGCAGTTCTCCCTCTTTCAAAATTAAATTAATTAAATCTGATTAGATTGAGAGGGAAGGAAGGACGCAGGCAAGTAGCAGCAACAGCTTTAGTGGTTTTGCTCAGTTCCACAGAGGCAGGAGTTTTTGAAAGCCCCGGAGCTGGGGCAGGGCTGGGAAGGGAGACAGACATCGTTCATCTGCAACAGCCCAGGGCTAGGACGGGAGCCAAAGCCACCAGCCAGAAGCCAAAAGCTTTCACAGGGTCTCCCAGACCTATCATTGAGTCTCAGCAGGCACCCAAGCACTTGGGCCACCTTTCACAAGCACATTAGCAGGAAGCTGGATCAGAAAGTGGAGCAGCAAGGATTCAAACCAGTGCCCACAGGGCAATGCTGGCACTGCAGGCTGTGGTTTTACACACAACACCACAGCACTGAACTGTCAATCTATACATTCTTAAAGGAATGTACTGTATTAAAATCTCTCTACTTTCTACACAATTCTAAAAAATATTTTGTTTTTATTTGAAAGGCAGATTTTACAGAGAGAGAAGGAGAGACAGAGAGAAATCTTCCATCTGCAGGATCATCCCCAAAATGGCCACAATACCTGGAGCTGAGCTGATCCAAAGTTGAAAGCCAGGAGCTTCTTAAGGGTCTCCCACATGGGTACAAGGTTCCAGGGACTTGAGCCATCCTCTGCTGACTTCCCAGGTACCTCAGCAGGGAGCTGAATCACAAGTGGAGCACCTGGGACTCAAACCAGTGCTCATATGGGATGCCAATGCTGCAGGCAGTAGTTTAATGAGCTGTGCCAGAGTGTAAATCCTACTCTTTCTTCATGGTTTAATGAAACAATACCTGGCCTGTTTCTAAAGGTGGCTGTACAGCAAGGTTCAGATCTATAGCTCTCAGCTCAAGAAGCACTTGTTCCTTCCTCTCATGCATACTCTTGATTTCCAAAGCTTTTGGGGCTTTTAGAATCAAATCTCCAAAACCCTGTTTAGATACTCATTATTATTATTACCTCAACTCAAACATGTCTAGGCCAAATGGATTTTAACTTCACATTTCTTTAAGATCTTTTTTCTTTTTCCAAGTTGAAAAATAGAGTTACACAGAGAGGAGATACAGAGAAAAAGATAAAACCATCTGCTGGTTTATTCCTCAAACCACTGCAACAACTGGAGCTGAGCTGACCCAAAGCCAGGGAGCAGGAGCTTCCCACATAGGTGCAGGGGCCAAAGCACTTGAGCTATCCTCCACTGCTTTTCATAAATGATAAGCAGGGAGCCGGGACCATGAACTAACACCCATATGGGATGAGGCTTCGTCTACTATGCCATGGTGCTGGCCCCAGATTTTTTTTTTTTATTTCAAATCTGCTTTGTCTGGAATCCTGCAACTTATCACTGAAAATACATGAGTGATCTGAATTCTCCCTTTACACTCAACCTCCTCATCAAGCTGAGTCTTCATCCCAATATTGCAGGCATTGATCTAACAACATAATTAAGAACATAATTAATAATAATTATGAGTTTACTAAATTTCAACTATTATACTGGGCAGTTACTGCCATCATTTCATTTAGTCTACAGAACCACTCCCTGAGCCATGTGTCATTATCTCTAGCCTATGGATAAAAACCCTGAGGGCTATTAAATAATCTTCCTAACACAGCTTGATAAGTACATGAACTTGAAATCAGGTAAAAACTTGATCCAAACAGTATTATTTTTCCTTTTTTTAAGATTTACTTATTTTTACCATGGAAGGCATATTTATAGAGAGAAAAAGAGAGACAGATGGCTGCAAGTCAGTATTCTTAACTACCTGCTAAATTGCCTCTTTAACTCCTGTGGGAAGAGTGATGGTGGGAGAGAGATGGACACACACACACACAGGAAAAAGAGAAAGAGAGAAAGGGAAGACTACTGAGT